TCCCCACAAATTTGATTTCCTCGCTTCAAAACTGCCCATTTTCTCATTTAACGATGTTGTTACCAAGGCCGTGAAGCTCCCTCTGTGCCGCCACTGCCAGGTTAGATTGTCTTCACTATGTTGTTGTTATAAACATGTAGGATGAGACACAAGTAATTGCTTGGCCCACAGCGGAGGAATGGGGGCAATGGCTACAGCCTCCTCATGCCGACATCATTATCAACCCGACATGACTTCTATCGTCTGCAGGTGAGAGAGGCGCTGCAATAATTTAACGAATTTGGAAAATGAGTAAACTGAACTTGTTAACTTGTTCAGATTTCATGACACATACCACAAAACGAACTTTGCTGGACAAGAGTGAGTGAGTGAGTTTTGTTTTACGCCGCACTCAGCAACATTCCAGCTATATGGCGGCGGTCTGTAAATAATCGAGTCTGGACCAGACAATCCAGTGATCAACAGCATGAGCATCGATCTGCGCAATTGGGAGCCGATGACATGTATCAACCAAGTCAGCGAACCTGACCACCCGATCTCGTTAGTCGCCTCTTATATAATTACAAGCATGGGTTACTGAAGATCAAATTTTTAACCCGGACCTTCAAGGGTCTTGCTGGACAAGAAAGAAAAGTTCACGCAAAACATAATCAGGTGGTTGGGGGTTGAGGTGTAGATTCTGTTGTGAAGAGCCAAACACTGCGGTCTTCTATACCTCAAGAACTCCAGCAACCTGAGCTTGTCACAAGGGTCACAAGTGTTTGGCATCTTCCCCTTAGCAAGCGTGTCCACAAGTGTCTATAAAAGTCCTAACTCCTGTCCTAACTAGTTGTACCCATTATCTGTCTTAGCTGGGACACTGGTTTTACACTTTGACATGAGCTTGTGGGCACGCTTGACCCGGGAAAGTGGGTGATCAGGTAAGGCCACCGTGGCTCGGTCAATTTCGTGTATTGAACCCAACGACATAGGAAGTGGCTCACTGGTTTGTCTGGTCCAGACGCGGTTATTTACAGAAGACAGACACACACCTGAAATATTGTAATGGTCGGATTACATGTGCAAGAGTACGTTTGTTTGAATTTCGTCAAACAGCAGGTGTGCTGGGGTTTTTCAGTTTTAAACAGACCCATATTACTAAGTTGGTATTCACATCGTTGTCTGGAACGTGTAACAAGACAATTACCTCAACGTTTTATTATCACATTAATATATTAGAAGAAGAAAATATAGGCGACATCTCCAGAAGCTTTTGTCACCCAGTTCCACCTTTTGGAGTTTCTGACATAACAGCATCTATGCACAGCCTAAGACGTACTATGAAGGATACCACTTCTGTGATCAGGGCAGCAACATATAGCCCACGAAGGAAACCCCTAAGTGACCATTATAGCTTACATGCCATGTGGAACAGACGGAGGCATCTGGCTTGGCACGGACACATTTTGTCTTGTTTTTCTGTAAAGAAGCAGCCATGCAAGTGACACCGGTATCCCTGTCTGGTGATGGTTTTATCAATAGCAGACAATTGTCACCAAAATAATGTTCTAGTAGCACTAATTACATTATCGTAGATGTTCCTGGATTGTTGATGGTGTATAAATAAGTCGGATCGCAAGTAGCGGAAACACATTTACTACCGTCTGAGTGGTGGTGTATACACACTGCTGTTCTGGATATGTAGAGATGAAAGGCATTGCCAAGGCCACAAGAGTCATCACGGTCAAATGCCAAAGTCATGGGCACTAGGGAACATAATGGACGAGCTTCTGTCTACCCGCTCGAATGCCATTCCAACAGTTGTAAGTGACAGTAACCACACGGCGTTAATGTTTAGGCTTGTCAAAGGTACTTACACAAGGCAAGACTGTGTTAATGTCAGAAGTACTGGGCTCTTGTCTCTGGAATGCTGTTTCGTCCGTACAAACTACAAGAGCAACTATCATCCAATCAAGGTACACAATCTACTACAAATATGAAAGAAATTCAAGAGATAATTTTCTTCTTTCAAGATAGACATTGTGATTTATATCATAAAACATCAATGATTATTTAAAAGTCATTCGTTTGAAATTCGACTCGTGACGTTGTCATTTAAATGCGAACGTTATCTGGTTCTATCCAAATTATATATTTCCCGAGACCATTTGTCTGATCAGTCGCCTCTTTCAAGCATGGGTTGCTGAAGACTACCTCCATCCCACTTTTGTCGTGGTGTTCATATATTCAGGATGAATATTTCTTACTGCAACATCACCAATCTTGCAGTTATTCCCGCAAAACAGTCAAATAAGAAACCCCACAGCACGTACGCTTACCACGTTAGGATTAGTGTTTGGCTTCCATGTGAAGAACATTTCGTTAGGAATTTAACTATACTACTTACTTATCCAGATGTGTCCAGTAAGAGTTAGCAGTTTGTCTGTAAAGTACATCGATACAAATGTCACGAGGAATGACATCTCGAGTATATTCTGACCGAGCTTATTGATTCCAATTAGAGACAAGCTTCAGCATGGGAAACTGCAGTGGTGTGGTAGTAAGTTGGCAAGAAAGGAACATTGCGGAACTGTGCGAGTTTAATTTTTTGCTGGTTTAATCAGTGGATACCTCACGTTGTGTGAAAGAGCTTATGTTGATGCTGACTTCAGCCGAATGTGTCTGTTTGTTTGTTTGTTGACACTGATGCCTTGGAGTTTGTTTGCTGTGTCACATCGGACGCAGCAATAGTCCAGCTATAAAACACCATTGGTAAATCAGACAATCCAGTGATTCACATAAATATCGATCTATGCAATTTAGATGCCATGACATACATTAACCAAGCCATGGAGTGACCAAGGGAGAGTGACCTTGGGATCCTGTTAGATCCTAAGGTATCTCTTGAGCATAGTTTGCTGACAATGAATTGTATCAGGGATATTTTAAGGTGACTTATATTGGAGAGAGTCTGGTATATTGCTGGTTTAAGCAGAACCATACTTCACCACATGTGAGTACCATACATGACCATGTGTCAAAGAGTTTGATATAATGCTGGTGTAAGCAAAAGAGTACTTCACTGTGTGTGACATTGGTACAATGTTGTTTTAAGCCTATTGTGTTAGGGAGTTGGTTATAATGCTGGTTGAAGCAGTAGAATACTTCACTTTGTGCCATCCTTGTGTGTCAGGAAACGTCTAAGCACAGATTCAGGATATTCACTCTCCTGTAGATCCTACCTGCGCAAAGGGACACAACTCTGTGCAAGTTGCAGTGCCCTTTATTGATAGATCACCAACGCCCGCCACACTTTTAAATTGCTCCAACATAAAATGCTTTATTGATATGATTTGATATATCTTATATTTTGATATTAAATATGGATTTTATGATGCAAAGTGGCAGTTCGACAATGTATATGATTCCTGTCTATCAAAACAGTGGGTGAATGAGAGAGTGAGTGTGTCAGTGAGTGTGATATATCTAAAGTAAATTAACGCACCAGTAAACGATCATCAATATTTGTAATCTGTGTCTTATCCAGAATCTCTACGAAATTTTAGCTGGATTTACATATACGTGTTTCGAAGACAAGATCAGTTTTGAAGACAAGATCAAGGACATGTGTACAAAGTCATCAAAAGAGTCTATTATCTTTACCTTAAATCTTTCCACAAAAGCACAAAAGATGGATATTGATTGACCTGTGATTGAATATCTCAAGAGTTGTCTCTTTCAGATTAACGATGTTTCCGGTGGACATTAGGGATCCTGGACTTGATCAGTTATGGGATTTGATCTAGACTCCTTGTTTGGTATGGTTCCAATGTTTTACAAGGCATTCCCCTTAGCTTGAACATTGTTTAGTATACTTATACAACTTACACAACAAGGGCATGAGATTACTGAAAGATTTGACAAATCAAAGACATGTTTGCCAGTGGCAAATGAGGACCAAACATCTTCATGTCTTCAAACAATGAAAGTGCCCCTGGTCTGGTCCAAAATTTGATTACACAGTGTCTGTTAACATTAAGGATCATGTCCTAATGCTAACAGACACGATTGTTAGAGAAATGCCTGAATGTAACCAATTCAGTTATCTCCACTTGTTGCCATGACCACAAAGACTTTCTGAATCCATGTCTGACGTCTGTTACTGACTACTACATTCTCAAATGAAGACATGTGACTCCAGAAACAAACCGCTGGATGTTTTGAAGCAATTCCATCTGGAATCTATTTTACTCTCTTCACTCGATATCCTGACTGTCATCTGAACCAATCATTTATGTCTTGATTTTATGTGAACATGTTGTCCACTTCAACCAATTTGTGACGTCTTCACTCCATGTTAGAAACAATATGTCCACTTCAACCAATCTGTGACGTCTTCACTCCATGTTAGAACAATATGTCCCCTAGAACAAATATATCTTCAACCAATCTGTGACGTCTTCACTCCATGTTAGAACAATATGTCCCCTTCAACCAATCTGTGACGTCTTCACTTCTTGTAAGAAACAATATATCTACTTCAACCAATCTGTGACGTCTTCACTCCATGTTAGAACAATATGTCCCCTTCAACCAATCTGTGACGTCTTCACTCCATGTTAGAACAATATGTCCCCTTCAACCAATCTGTGACGTCTTCACTCCATGTTAGAACAATATGTCCCCTTCAACCAATCTGTGACGTCTTCACTTCTTGTAAGAAACAATATATCTACTTCAACCAATCTGTGACGTCTTCACTCCATGTTAGAACAATATGTCCCCTTCAACCAATCTGTGACGTTTTCACTTCTTGTAAGAAACAATATATCTACTTCAACCAATCTGTGGCGTCTTCACTTCTTGTAAGAAACAATATATCTACTTCAACCAATCTGTGACGTCTTCACTCCATGTTAGACACAATATGTCCCCTTCAACCAATCTGTCACTTCTTGTTCTTCACTTGTGACTTGTAAGAAACAATACATACACTTCCAACCAATCTGTGACGTCTTCACTTCTTGTGAGACACAATATGTCCACTTCAACCTATCAGTGAAGTCTTGCTGTCATGTAAACCTGTTGTCCACTTCAACCAATCAGTGATCTGTTCGCTTGATGTAAACATTATGTCCACTTCAAGCAGACAGTGAAGTCTTCACTGAATGTAAACAGTGTCCACCTCATCCAATCACTGATGCCTTCAGTAATACTTACTGGACATGAACAAATGTCTGCTGGAATCCATCTTTGACAGATCTATGTAAAGTACCTGTCACTGACATCTTCATCTAATATCACGAGTTCCACCAGGACAGCAAACCCAGTCCAGACTCACTGATGGATCCCTGAAACAAACAATAACCTTCAGGGAATATCAACACAAGCATACAACGGACTAATAAACATCCAATTGTAGAACATGTCTGCATGGTACACATCAAAGAATATTGGTTGTTTTACATCTGTAAATATTAGTACAAACCACATATAGTAATGTATCATATGAAAACATCAGAAATTCATGAATTTATCAGGAGTAAGCAGACTTATATCAATGATACAGAGATGAATACAGATATGTAAACCCAATCTTTCCATACATTCCACAATATCACCATGCATATCAGTTAGTGACAGTAACAACGTAGCATGTCAGCTTTATGTGTTGTAAATGCTTACAACTATTTTTGTGAAATCCAAACCAAAATATTGATGCAGAGAAACCTCGGATAATCTGGGATACAAACCTATGACACTTGAATCCTGCCATTCCAAACGGATGCAGTTATGCAAACTCGAAGAGTGAGTAAACAATTCTTTACTCTTCATCACGATACATTGACATATTCTCAACTGCACCACACAAGTAATGTTCCACCTTCATCTCGCAAAGCCAGTCAAATATGCTACTTTGTTTTTTACACGTTTCTTTGAAATCATTGCCTTCTTTGAAGTCTTTTCCAGACACTATAAAACTATGACTTTCAAACAAGAACAGAGCTGAAAAAAGAATAAGAATTCCAAAATGATGCTCTGACATTTTAAGTAAAGAATCCCTTCTGCTACAGATACACTGTGAGAAAGTTTTATAACAATCTGCCCCAAACAAGGCTTTCTCAACAGTTTACCACCAAGTGACAATGTTAACAATAAGAGAGGTTAAAAAAATCCTAAAGGAGCATACAACAGTTCAGATTTTCTAGAGCTGATACAACCACCAAACTCCTACTCATCTTCGAACAAAGTTCACCATGACCTCTTCACACTGATAAGAACCCATTTCCAAATGTTTCATATAAACAGGCAAACCCTCACAATGATAGTAGAAATCAGCTACATATCTAAAATCATCCACTGGCATCTCAATGCCAGCAGCTTAGCTATTAAGGCACATGGTGATAGCTGCAAATCACCTCCACTGCAAACGATAAGCATAATGTCAGCTCCAAGAAATAAAAGTATCACAATACGATGAGACTGTGAGCCACATGGGGAATTCTCACTGTGATAAAGTACATTGAAGATAAGGTAATCTAATTATAAAAATGTAATTATGTGAGAACAAACTGTACTTGAAGGGTTTTACTCAGAATTTATGACAAGAGGTAAATCATAAAGATATCTATTACACATGTTGGTAGCTTCATGAATCATTTCATGTTGCTGGGCGTGGTGTTAACAAGTACCATTCAGATCTAATCTGCTTCCATAAACTTACAGACAGGAAGTCAAGGATGTAGCAATCAGTCATGGTTAAATGAAAAAACACATTGTCAGACAATGTATCTGATATCCTGGCAATATAGCCTGAGTGTTTTTTAGAAGGTCATTTCTTTTAATTTGGTTTCATGCTTATTCTGTCTCTAAGCTTCTGTAAGATGTAATCTAAATAAAGCATCATTGATATTTATCCCACCGGCATGTAATGCGGTGGGATATAGTCGTCGCCTCGTCCGTCTGTCCGTCATTTTGTTTCCGGAGCATAACTCAAAGACCGTTCGATATTTTTCAACAAAAATTGGTAGATATGTCAAACATAACCTACGGTGGTGCCTTTTGCTATTTACAGATTCTTGTCATTTTTATTTTTCTCGGTTTCCAAGGAAACGTTTTGGACTTAGTCTTAAAGAAGGGTGGGCTTCGTTTCCGGAGCATAACTCAAGAACCGTTCAATATTTTTCAACAAGACTTGGTAAATATATCAAACAGAACCTTAAGTGGTGCCTTTTGCTATTTGCAGATTTTTGTCATTTTTATTTTTCTTGGTTTCCACGGAAACATTTTGGATTTAGTCTCAAAAAGTAAGAATTGCTTTCGTTTTCGGAGCACAACTCAAAGACCTTATAATATTTTTCAACAAAAGTTGGTAGATATATCAAACAGATCCTAAAGTTGTGCCTTTTGCTATTTGCAGATTTTTGGCATTTTTATTTTTCCCAGTTTCCATGGAAACGATTCGGACTTAGTCCCAAAAGTGAGGGGTGGGCTTCGTTTCCGGAGCACAACTCGAAAACTTCTCAATATCTTTCAGCAAAACTTGGCAGATATGTGAGGCAGATCCCAAAGTGGTGCCTTTTTGCTATTTGCAGATATTTGTGATTTATTATTTTCATGATTTCCATGGAAACGATTTGCACTTAGTCTAAAATCAAGCTGGACTTTAAGTAACTGTCAGATGATTTGTTCTTTCAAAGATGTGGGGGCCGGGGGGATATGTCATCTTCTGATGACTCTTGTTTCAAGTGTTATCAACAAATAGTTTTTTGCAAACAAGCAGAAATGTCCATCTTCTTTCTTCAGAATACACAAACTGTGTTGCTAAAGCAAGGTTACACACTGGTTTATTTAGAAAAATATAATCATCAGGCACTGCAGCCTACCGAAGGTTTTTTTTTATATTTGCAATGTGATAGAAACATATAAATACATTTTATAAAAGACCACAAAAGTTTTTAAATTAATATCTTTTTAAAATATTGCACACAGTATACATACTAGTGCAGTACACTTGCACAATTACACTGACTGACTGACTGACTTAGTTTGGTTTTACGCCGCTTTTAGCAATATTCCAGCAACATCACGGCGGGGGACACCAGAAATGGGCTTCACACAATGTACCCATGTGGGGATTCGAACCCGGGTCTTCGGTGTGACGAGCCAACGCTTTAGCCACTGGGCTACCCCACCGCCCCTGCACAATTACAAATAACTGTGAAAGTTCAGTTTAAGTATGTCTGTCATGGTGACTGTGTTTCGCTTTTTAGAAATGAAAAATATATCAAACTGACAATTTTGCATGAGAGCCATCAGTAAATGTATCAGCTGGAATAATCTACCCTAAATTCTGCCATGATTGTATCTGTGAACATATTCACATTTATCACTGTGTTGCTAATAACATGTTAATTATGTCAGACAATTAACTCAATGGGATAGACATGGGGTGTGTCATTAAAGAGCTTTTGAGCTCCGTACAAACAAGTCACATGCACCATATCACACCCTTGTACAGCCATGTTTAATATTCTGCAAGAGTCAGATGACTTCATGGCCTCAAGGACCATAGATGGGGACTTACTGTCAGAGAGTAAGGTGACTTCTTGACCTCAAAGACCATAGATGGGGACTTACCATCAGAGAGTAGGGTGACTTCATGGCCTCAAGGACCATAGATGGGGACTTACTGTCAGAGAGTAGGGTGACTTCTTGACCTCAAGGACCATAGATGGGGACTTACCGTCAGAGAGTAGGGTGACTTCATGGCCTCATGGACCATAGATGGGGACTTACTGTCAGAGAGTAAGGTGACTTCTTGACCTCAAGGACCATAGATGGGGACTTACTGTCAGAGAGTAAGGTGACTTCTTGACCTCAAGGACCATAGATGGGGACTTACTGTCAGAGAGTAGGGTGACTTCTTAGCCTCAGGGTCAACAATGGTGATGTCAGAAGCTGAGGGTTCCGTGCAATATTCTGCACCGCCATCAGGACCTGCTGGAGTTGTGTCCACAAAGAGCTCATCAACCACCCGGAACCTGGTGAAACAATTACTCAGATAACAGAGATCACGCCACTATGAAAGCCACAGCTAGTAAGCAACTGGACAAAATTAATATTTACTGAAGCATTGTCATAGAAATAAGAACATACACTAATTCGCTTGCAATTTAGGTCTTCAAAGGGAAATAAAGGATGAAGCAGTCTCATGTCTTGACGTCAAATATTATGCTTGTGGAATTTAAAGATGTATACCCTCTGAGATTAACTAGGTGGTGGGTGACATCTATTCTTTTAGTTGACTAGCCCTAGGTACTTTGGGTGCTGTCTAAACTCATTTAATGCACAGGTCATTACAAACAATCGTCACTTCTATTGAAAACCCCTCACTATGAGGGATGGTGGGTTCCTTTAATTATTAAGCTTACACTATCCATTATGGAAATGTTTTGTTGGGAAGTAATCTATGGGGAAAAATAACAAACTGACTAATGTTTTTCACAATTATATTACTAAATTGGCATAATTAAGATGGCATAATCAACCACTCTGTCAAACATCACTGCTCTTTAATAAATAGAGGTGCAAAAGTACAACTGAGTCAATGTACTCCAGATGCTTGAAGGCGAGTGGTAATTGTAGCTTTTACAGCAGTAATTACATGTAATTAGCTGAATATACTGCACAACTTCCCAATTCTCGACATCTTCTCAGTCTCTTTGCATGAACTACAATTCAATGAGATAATTGATGTGATCAGAAATAGCACATGATCTTTCAACTGGCAGCCATTTTGAAAAATTGGCCCTACAGTTAAATGATGTTAAAGAAAACAACACATATACAATATTAGACATTTATCATTCTACTTATTAAGAAAACAATTTCTTTCAAATACAGGAGCAGGACTGATGTTAATTTTAATCAGCACTGTCAAAAGTAATTGAAAAGATATAAACAATACTTTTTTCCATTGTAGATGTCAACAAGATACGGAAAAGATCATGGCACAAATAAACAAGTCCAGAATCTTCAGACCAAATGGATACCAGAGACATCAGTATCTTTCCCCTTGTTCACACAAACAACAATAGCCATCATGCCGTGCCAGCCTTCCCAACCTTATCAAACAGACAGAAAGTATTTATAAATTCCTATCAGCTGTGCTATGATTATGCTCTTCTGCAAGTGGAGGTAAGCGAAACTGTTTTGTATAAGAAAACACATGGGTTGTCTGCAGCTCACCATGTTTACCTCCAATTATCGGAATTACAGCACAAGATAATGACAGATAAATACAGGTGTCATTCTGTGTTGGATTCCTACAATATCTTGAACACCATCCTCTGCAAGATAAATACACTCGACATTGTTTCCTATGTAGACCAGCTTGGCGTGTATGTGTAACAGGTTTACTTTAGGTGTGGGTATTTGGTGCATTGCAATTATCAGTGGTATTTGTTTTGAATAAACATAACGTGTTACTCATACATACACTGCATATGTCAATACGTTATGTTTGGTACATTATTTGTACTGGGTTGTACACACAATCAACATGGAAAACAGGACAGTCAACAAGTATAAGGTGAGTGGGTGGGTGGTTGCGTGCGTGTGTGCATGAGTGTGTGATCGAGTGAGTGTAAATAATCCTGCTAGGCCTAGGTAGACTGGTGGTTGACATCATGAGCACATGTCCACAACAAGCAACCTGGTCACACCCTACTGAATCACCCCATGACCTAACCTGTCCACAGGGATGACCTATGGAAATGCCTCCAGTGCCTCGTTGTCTGGTGCAATATCAACATCTCTAATGCTATTTGTACAGCTTCAGTCTAACCTAATCCGCAACAGAACACAATGAGCCATAACTAAAATATTGATGAATAATACATAATCTCTCTTCATCAGCCATCACCACAACAGAAATGTGCATATTGCCCGTTCTCAGACAGTCACATGATAAATGTCAACAATTACCAATGGCAGCTGACAAAATACAGTGTCATAGTAACAGTTCCTCCATGTCGGAATGTAAACACAGGAATACTTGAAGATAATAGGGGATATTGACAATCCTGGAAACATTAGTGTTTAGGAAAACATTATCTCCAGACTACACAGAAACCTACTTGAGACCCAGAACCGTTTTTCTGTTGTTCAAGGTCATGCTAAGAGTTGATCCCTTTAAGCACTTATATAGGAATTAAATGGTTCCCAAATCTGTAACTACTTTTTTCACAACATTAAGCTTTCAAAAAAGTGTACACCCACAAGAACATTAAAATATGCAAGACGTGCATCCTTGATGACTAATAAAACACAGAGAGCATGTTAATCCACTTTAGGGGCGACTACATGACATGCTAAAGGATTGGTAGGGGAACACCTGAGACATTGTTACCCGGGACATTGAAATAGAACAGGAATCCGTTTGCAAAATTATTGAAAGCAAATAATTTGTCTGTAAGTTTCACAGAAAAAGGACACTTTCACACTCGGCTTGCCGGAAGTAACCAAAAAATGTATAGTATTTCCAAAGGCTCCTCCAATTTCAGCACCGATTTTTTTCAAATCCATATGATGGAATGTAACTTTGCAGATGAAAGAAAGAAACGGTTTATCTGCATTCTGTTGTCATGTACAGTTAACTGGCTATATAGGGCAACAACAAAAAAACATTCTACAATATAGGCCTACAGGGAAATTACAGTATTGCCTAGAAGAAGAAATATAATTACAAGAATTTAACTTTTATATGCTTTTTAACCACACATGGATAAATAGTTCATCTGTGAGAAAACATAACAATTTCTAAATGTCAACCCAGTTTGTTTTTATTGAATGGTTAAAAACATGCATGTTGTATTTCCCTCAATTGCTAACGCTACAAAAGTAGCCTGCCATAAGCATTACACGACCTTCATAAATAGGTATCAGTTCACATGTTATTTGTTAGATGGTGATTTGAGAATCTGACATTCAGCGCTGACAACAGATTGAGGTAAACAGGTCATTAAACATGTTAAAGGAGTCAGATGCACAACATCTTAATTTAGTCCTTAAGCTTAGTCAAATATCTCATGAGTACAATACTTGTCTAAAGGGTGCACACAAGACCATTATGCATACCATGAAGTTTACCATTAGGCCATGAAGCATGCTACTAGGCCATGAAGCATACTACTAGGCAATGAAGCATACTACTAGGCAACAGACTGCCTGAGTTTGGCTTTACGCCGCTTTTAGCAATATTCCACCAACATCGTGGCGGGGGACATCAGAAATGGGCTTCACACGAGGTACCCATGTGAGGATTCGAACCCGGGTCTTCGGCGTTAACCACTAGACTACCCCACCGCCCCACTAGGCAATAGAGCATACCACTTGATTATGGAGCATACCACCAGGCCATGAAGCATACTACTAGGCAATAGAGCATACTACTAGGCAATAGAGCATACTACTAGGCCATGAAGCTTACTACTAGGCAATAGAGCATACTACTAGGCAATAGAGCATACTACTAGGCCATGAAGCGTACTACTAGGCAATAGAGCATACTACTAGGCAATAGAGCATACTACTAGGCCATGAAACATACCACCAGGCCATGAAGCATACTACTAGGCCATGAAGCATACTACTAGGCCATGAAGCATACTACTAGGCCATGAAGCATACTACTAGGCCATGAATGATACTACTTGGAAATAGAGCATACAATTTGATTATGGAGCATACCACCAGGCCATGAAGCATACCACTACAGCTTTAAGCACTCCACTATGCCTTCAAGCATTCCACTAGACCATCCAGCAAATCACCAGACCGTGAAACATACTACCCACACCATGAAGCATTCAGCAACAACATAACCTAATGATTCAGACACTCTGTGTGAAAAACATGAATATTCTTCAATAATGTAATCACAAAATGGAATGTCATCCATCATGTCCCCACAAACAAACTCAGGAAATACCCCCTGAATAATCAATTCACAGGCATTCTGTTTACCTCAAACTACACCTTCTTAAGTTGAGTCTGAGGTGCATGACAAGAAGATTTAGCTTCACAGATCTCCTAGATAACCAAATCAAGTGATAAGGTGTATTTAGACACATCAGTTTGTTTCATGTTGACTCTTCTACAACGGAATCTCTCAAGCATGGTCAGACATTTATCTTTACAATAACTACCATTATATTATGACACTGATAACTGAAACTAATAAATCAGGTTCCTTGGTCAGTGGGGTGTCACAAGGTGAGGGCAGAATTATGTGTTAGAGGTAATATTGTTGTCTTAAGCTTTGTTTCTTTGTTACTTCTGTAGCACCAATCTGCTAGCTCCTGGACCGAAAGCAGGTCGGTAGTTGAATCCGCTGATCGCATCATGCGTTAAAAGAGGCTACGTTGCCTGGTGCTTGGTGTTTAGGGTAATGACTGGTAGGCTTGGAGTTGTTATACTGTGGCTGAGTGGCTGAGTAGGGGTGAAACGGTTCGCTCTTCCCACAGTACGGTACGTATTGTGGTACAAGGCCTTCGGTTCGGTATCTGGCAGAGGCAGATACAGCTTTTTGAGAAAGGGGGGTGCACACTCTTGATAAAAGGAGGGGTGCACACTTCCTTTTCGACCGTTTTCACGGGTCATTTAATAAACTTTCAGGACAAAAAGGGGGGTGCACGCACACCCCTGCACCCCCCCTCTGGATCCGCCTATGTATGGGATATGATCATAATGCAAAAAATTGACAAGAGCCAAAACTTACATTGTTTAATAGAAACGTGGAAAAGAAATAACAATAATCTTTGCTATATGAAATAAACAAAACTGTAATTCTATGACTAGATAGAAATGACGGTATGAAAACCGAAAATACCAAAGTTTTTGGATTGCATTACGGTATACCGAACCGAAAGCAAAATACTGTGGTTTTACTAATACCATGGTATACTGTTTCCCTATGTAGCTTAGTTCAATGAAGGGGCGGTGGGGTAGCCTAGTGGTTAAAGTGTTGGCTCGTCACGCC